GCTGTTAGATGTCCCAAAATACACAGCACCTGAAATGGTCAATTCCACCTGCAGAAAGTATTGTATTAAGGTGTGATAAATAAGAAACAACAATGAATAACAGGGCTGAAGGGCAGTCTGCATCTTCAGTAGTCATTCTAACAAACTACTTCAGCCAGGTCTTTGGATTAAAGTGCAGAGACTCTGGAAACGTTCTCCTTTCTAAAAGCAAATCTCCACAATCTGCACAAAGGTCCCACAAGTACAATTGCTATAGTGAAAAAAGGAGGTGCTTCATTTGCTCCCAGCGTGGCTCGGGGACCCTGGCACAAACAGAACAAGCTGGTGGCCCTGCCTGCCTGTACCTGCACAATTTAACAGCCTCGGATCCCATCCCTGTAAGTCCAGTGGGCCCAGAGGCTGCCATGGCATCGGCTCGAGTGTGGCTGATGGTAGTAGGGCAAGGAAGCCAGCAGCTGATGGGGAGGAAAGGGTGAGATGTTGGCCCCTGAGGATGGCCGGTGCAGTGCTGGCACTGTAGTGCATATGGGAGCAAAACTGGTGGGAATGTTTGCATTCAAGTCAGCAGATGGGAGTGGGCTCACACTGCCATTAACAGATTAAAACTGTGTTCAGATGCTGTGAAAAATTCTGAGGGTCTTCTGGTGGAAGTTTCTGTGACGTGGCAGCAGCGAAGATAATGGCTGATTGACGTTTCTCAGCTTGCTCAATCCCTCAGAGTTTTAAGTGCAAGTTAGTTCCTTTTAAATGCTTTTTACTAAAGCTCCTCCACTCCCCCATGCAAACGGAAGTTGTGTATTTCACACTAGTCCATTGTGTTGTACATTATTGCACTGGGTGTGTTTGATGCCATTCTCTTCATCTGTCCGTCCATCCGTCTGTCCTTCCAGCACTTTTATTGTGCTGCATGGCAGAACAACTTTTTCTCGTTCTAGATCTAGGACTCTTCAGCACAGTGACCATGCCACTCTCCCTTGGCTGTTGGAATGTGCCTTCCGTGTGGGGAGAAATGGCTGTTCCTTCTGGCTGGCCATGCTGTCGTGATGCAAGTTCTAATAAATGTGTGTGAACTCATGTAGGTGCTCAGAATATGTATTTCCTTGACCCAGTTATCTGCTCTTGCCCTTCTGCTCTGTGTGATAATACACTACTCAAACCGTGTCAGTTTAGGATGCTATAACCAGTGACTTCCCTATCAAATTCTACCATTTGTGGGATGATATTCCCCCTGGAACAACAGATGAAGGAGGAAGGCAGGCTAATGGATTCCGCACTCCCCCACTGCCTCTGAGCACAAGCACTTAGCTGTGATAATTGTGAAACAGAAGGCGAATTTACACTGAGTTATAAACTGGTATCACAGATCTCGGTGTATACTTCACAGACTGTCAGCTGTTCAGAGTATTGCCATATATTTTAACTCTTTCAACTCACTTTTTCAACTAATCTGTCACTAATGCAGTTTCCCATGTTAAAGTGGCATAATAATATTAATAGTGTATAACTATGGAGGGAGGAGAGGTTGGTTTTTTTCTCACTAAAACTATACCTGTTAAGTTGCTAATTAACAGCTGTATTTCAGGGCACTGAGGAATCATGGCTTAATATTCATGTCTCCTTTTCACTCAGGAATCATGGCTTAATATTCACATCTCCTTTTCCCAGTTTAGAACCAGTAGGACCTTATACTAAAAGCTCCTCTCATTCATGTAGCCACACCCGCTGCAAAAATAATGAGTGTAATTTTTAAACAAAACAGCAGAACAGGTATAAAGCACTAGTCTCTGTGTGATGTGCATTGACAGAATGGCATTTCTCAGGAAAGTTGGGTGATTAAAGAAATAATATCCTAGCATCCTGAAAGTGTCCAGTGTGGTTGCTTTAAAGAGGTTATTTAAATTAAGCACTAGGATTTCTATTGCTAGTGTACACCTCTAAAAAATGAATATTGCTTCTGCAATTTGGGGCATAAAGCAGCAGGATATGAAGCAGCAGGTGCATTTTTGGTGGACTTTTTCTTCAGCGAAGCAGGATTCCAATTTGGGAAAAAGAGGAAAGACTGCATCATTGTTGTTCAATAAAAAAATAGTGTGCACATAGGGAGAAATGCATCTCTTCTTCATTGATTTCCACACAGAAGTTTGTAACATTTCTGAGAAGTTGGTGTTTTCATCTTAATTTCATGTTGCCACCCCCCTTCTTTGTTGTTAGCAGACAGCTTTCTCCCTTTCTGTCTTGAACATGTATTTCTTTCAAATATTTCATGAATGTTTATCCAAACAAGTAAAAATCTGAGTAAAGCTTCTAAATTACTGTAAATGCCCAAAGCTCTTATCAAGCCTCTGTCCTTCTGGTGGTGACTGATGGGACTTATGAGAATTCATTTTCTTTCCCATTTACCTGCAGTGATAATCAGCTTCCACGTATACAGTCATGTAATAGGGTCTCAAACCCTATTCACATTGTGCAGGCAATAATACCAGAAACACCCATTTATTCATTCTGGGGCCTATGCTTTATTTTAATTTAGGGCCATGCATGTTTTAAGCTGAAGGAACTTTCAACCTCTCCTGTGTCTGCATTTTTATGTTGATGGATACTGACGTTGTCCTTTTTCAGAAGCTGTTGGTGGACTTCTAGAGTAGATTAAATGAGATCTTGTTCTTATAACTCTATATTCTACTTAATCAGAGACATTTCTGAGGTGACAGTAGTCTATTTGGATGGGATTCAGTTGCCTAAAATTACACTGGATGCCTACTCTTAGATACCCAACTGCTGCTTTGCCTCTTGCTGCCACTTTCAAAGAATGAACATCTCCTGCAGATACTTTCATGCTGCCACTCAAATGTAAATGTCTCAGATTTCCTAGAGTCTCACAAATGACACAGAGCATTTACCCTTAAACAACTGAATCCTACCTTTTGAATGTGAGACAAACATTATTTATGGCTATTCTTTTAGATATTTGCTGCTTATAAAGCCTCAGTAATTTTATCACTCTAGCTCTCTTCTTAGCATTCACAGGTTGTATTGCTCCAAAATTTGCTGCTCCTTGATTTTATTTCTGAATATGTACAATAAGTGAAATAAATTTGGTTTTGTCTTCATTACTTTCTATAACAAAATAACTTATTGTAAGACTGCTAGGAAACTTGAGTTATTTGCCATTTAACACCATTTAAATGTAGGAAAATGTCAATGGTGAAGCTCAAGCTGTTTGGCTTTTCTGAAGGTCTGTACATATGGCATCTGACTCACAGCGGGTTCACTTTATGGTTGGTATAATTCATATTTTGAAACAAGCAAAAATTCAAAATTCATATTTTGAAACAAGAAGCAAAGTTTTATTTGGGAACTCTTCATCTGTTCATTATTTAGCCTTCATGTTTTAAGATGCTGTTTAGTACCACACATCTTGGAGTTAATGGAGCAATTTCCCATTTAAAAATTAAGTTTCAGTGTATTGCATTTTGGACTCTCTGTCCATGATCACTTCTCAAAATATTTTAAAATAAAAGCCACGGAACTTAGAAACACTTTTTCAAGGATACCAAATGGTTTTCTGGAGTGGCCAGAGGGAAAAGTTTTATACCTTACCTTTAACAATCAGATATAAAAATACTGCATCCAGAAGACTAATGAAATTAATTATTTTTCCACAGACTGCAGCAGGTCTAACAAAAAATTTAAAGATCAAGTGTGTTGAGGAGAAACAGTGGAACTCTTGCTTGAAAATACAAGTGAAAAATTCAAAGCTCTCTTAGGCAGCTTTCAGTTCAGCAAATATATATATGTGTTTGGAGGCTAAATTTTCCTCACTACATTTTTAATAGTTAAAAAACCCTCCCAACTGTTGCATAGATTTTGAGACATTTCTTGTTTTCATTGTATATAAATGTTAAGATGTCTTCTGTCTCTTAAAAGAATAACTATGAAATACCTGCAAGGTGATGAAAACAAACTTGTCATTGACTAGATTGTTGGATGGATGCTTGTTTGATGTACTTGCAAAAATACACAAATTATTCTGATTGTCAATTTAAATTTATTGCAAGGTGGCAGAATCTTGACTGCGCTTTTAAGCAAATGTGAAGAGCTCTCATTTCAGATCAATCTTTGCTGCTAGCATTCACGGAGCACTAACATGAGCTAGCTGAAATGATGCCTCTAGATCTCCGTACATATGCTGAAAGCTGAACCTGTGGATCAAATGATAAAGGGTCCTTATTTATCATCACTAGAATAGATATGTCACAAGTACTTATTTTAAAAGGGGTGGATGAGATAATCTCTGCTTCCAGAAATAAAACTGCATATTTAGGCAATGCGAAGAAGAGAGTTTATTCTATTGAAAGCATAAAATGTGTAAAGCATCTGGTGAGAGCTAAGCAGAAAGAGCCCATGTCTACAATCCTGGCTTTTGCCTGCATCAATATATCAACAGGTGTTGGGAGATGCCATAGACGCTTTGACTGATGTAGCTGCCCTGACACAGAAGGCAGTAAGGTAGTTGCAAATCTTAGTTCCCCTTCTCCTCTTGACTGACATGACTTTTGTCAGGTAGTTTTTTGGGTGGTTTTAAGATAGTAGAATAAAACATGGCTTTGCTGGTATAGCTTCACCTCTACCAATCTCTCTCTGATTTGTGCACAAAACTGTGAAATGCCTCTGAAGTAGAGTCATCTGGAATGCCTTATGAATATCCAACAGGTGTATTTTACCTTTAAAATCTCAAATTTTTCCATTCCTCCTAGAAGTGCTGGAATTCTCCATTTGCCAAGTATGCGGGAAACAAACTATTTCTGGTTAAAGCTGTGTATTGTATGACTTGGTTAAAAAACAAAGAAAAGCTGTTAACTGCTTTTTATAAAATCTGTTCCAGTGAAACCACTGTTAACTTTTTGGAGGTTTGGTTATTCTTTCTTTTAAAAGTCAACTTCTTTTATCAGTCAAAGAAGAAGTCATTTGATTAATGATCATTTTTATCTCTTTGAAAGGATCCTTTCCGACCATTGGGGTGAAGTCTCTTTCGAGATTCCTGAGGGCGGGATTTTTAAATAGCATCCTGGCCTCACATCCAGTGTCAGGGGGTGGATCTTTACCCCCCAGCATTTCCTCTGGTAGGTATTCCAGCCTATTCCCCCACATTTATTTTTCCCTTCACCCTTTGCCCCATCTCTCCACACATTTAAGGAAAACAAAAATTTGAGTGGGTCAGACAGGGAGATTAGATGTCCCTTCCAATAAAAAGACAAATTGAAAGGAAATGGAAAAGATAAATTACTTTTTAGGAACTAGGCATTTTCCTGTATCAATTTCTAGGAGAAATTGTGAGGGAAACTCTTCTGTAGTTAAGTGGTCAACCTAAATATAGAAAGAGAAGGTTCAGTATCCTCTAATCATGCACTTAATGAAGCATGCCCATGTGCAGCAGGGAGACATATCTTTAAAGATGCCTCTGTAAAATCCCAGATTGTGTGTGACTCTGTGACTATTCCCAAAAAATTTATATTCCTTTGCTAAAACATTAGAAGTAAAAAAATTTGGAAAGGCAAAATTTTTTTATGTACTGAGGTAGTGTTTGAATCCTTTGTACGATTCCACAGTTGCAGCTTGTATCTCATAAAAACTGCCTTAACTTTTCTTTATAACTTTTATCACAATCTGAACTACTACAGTTCTCTTAAAATGAGTGAGAAAACCCCATTCCCTCTGTTGCCAGCACGGTATTCTGCTCTGCCTTTGGTAAGGTCCCCAGTGAGGCACAGCTGTATGATGGCACAAGGGACTCCAGAAGGTTGAGATAAAGTTGAGTGTAGGCTGGGAATGAGAACACCACGCCAGGTGAATGGGCTGCTGTCAGCTACTGGGCAGAAACAGGACAGAAGGACAGGGTAGAGTCATCCTTTCCCAGAAAGGCTGTATCTGTTATCCATTCTCTTCCGGAGCCATTAAATACCATCTTCCACCAAAGCTAATTATGAAGGATACATGTATCTTCATTATAGTTAGAACTGAATTAAAGTTCGGTTCTGTTCCTTAACAAACTACATGTTTCTGTGTAAAATTAATCTGTACTTTGACTAATGTGACACTTGTATCATTTCAGGATATCTCACAGTTTTTACCTTACATGAACTTAATGTTAATAAATGTTACAGTTTTTCTTAAAGAGGAAAAATCTCTTATGGTGAAAGTAGGGAGAAAATTGAAAAATTACATAATGTTATTGATTTTCTATACAGAAGAAACAGTTCTACTTCTTTATGCCTCATTTTATCTATTGCAATAATGGTAGGCCTCATTAATACAAGATAACTGTTACCTTTTTTTTTAAAGTGCTTTTAATTCTTTGTTTACTTTTTTTCTTTGACTGTGAGCTTCTCAAAAACTTTGATGTCTTTTCTTATGATGGCTTGGGTATCTTTTGTCAACAGTTTGTAAAATACTTTCCATATTTTTTCTCCTTGTGATACCTCAGGGTGTTTAATAGCCATGGGCTGTTTTGGCAGTCAGCATCACAATGAGATTGGTATCTATAACCAAACAACTGTGGAAGGGGAGCTACTCCAGACCACAAAAAATTCTTTGTTTTGAACAGTGCTATGTGTAGCATATCACTGATTCTATTAGATTACAAAGGGATTAACTGCACTTATGAACTGGCTTCTCAGCTACGTACCTACCTACAATTTTATTTTATAAGGTCCTCAGGACTGTTGTTTTCTGACTGTTTATAAAACTTTTTATCACCCTTTTTTGACTTAATTCATAAATGTTAAATGTGGTTTGTTTAATAAAACTGGTTCATGATTCCTTGCTACTGAATGTATTTTAATAATAATTCTGATTTAATCTGATGAAATACTCAAAACAGGGAAAAAAATGGAAGTGCAGCTACATGATGTGCAACATATACCCTAGCGAGGTAGTGAAAATAGATGTTATTGTTGGATCATGTCAACAGCAACAAAAAAAAAAAAAGAGCCAAGCAGCAACCCCACAGAAAGGGAGAGATTGCCCATCTTCTGGAAAGTGAGGATTATCAGGTAGTTGAAAGCCAGTGAAGAACTGTAATAAATCCAATGGATGAAATGTTCCTTTGAGAAAGAAGGCATGTGGGGTCCAGGGGGCACAAAACATCACAGTACAAGTCAGAAATTGCTGTTAACAAATGTACCCTAACATTCTTACCTGTAGTGCTGCTGTTTAACTCTTTTATTTTATCATATTTGTATTTACGTTAAGCACAATCTTAATTCTGAATTGCCTCTCTCTGTTACAGAGATGACCAGAGGATGCCATTTCCATTTCATGACAACTTTCTAAATTGCTAAAACCAGCTTTGCTGTAGACGTGAGCAAAAAGCCCAAATATGTAGTACATTTCTTGCTCCCAAAAAAAATCTGTTGGAGGGAGTACTGATCTGGGATGTGAGAGACTCAGAACTGAAATTCTTACTGTGCATGATTCAGTAGAAAATATGTTTATCCTTGCATCCTTACTCTCTTTAGTATAAACAGAGAAGGGATGTACCCTTTGTTCCTTTGCATCAAAAAACGCTGCACTAAACACCTGACCTGTTTTCTGAGTATTGCTTTACCAAGGAACAAGGACACCCAAGGCAACAGTGCTCTGGGAAGGTATTTAAGCTGTGATAGCGGTGTTATCGTGGCAGCCTCTGGCTGTTAGAACAGCAATAGGCAGGCAAGACCAACTGCCCATTGCGCTCCTGATGCTGTCTAGAAGGCTTCCCCTCTCTCGTTAAAGGTGAGAGGACTGCTGGTGGTGTGTTGGTACTGGGGGGAGGCATGGCGATTGCTGCCTGGGATGGCACAGTCACCCCACCTCCGTTATCTGCCAGCTGGGCTCATGTTGGACAGTAGCTTTCATAAGCCTAACAGAAGTACTTAACGGTTAATAACTTTGCTGAATTATAACCTAATTGCTTCACATATAGCTTATGTATAAGATTTCAGTGAATTTAACTACATGGAAGGCTTAAAATGCCTGCATTATCCTGCTATTAGGGTCATTGGGAACAAAGATAATGAGATGGTATTTATTTACCAAAACCTTTAACTCAAGCTAAGTGGCAGATTTACTTCAAAACAGTCAGAAAATGTATTCCTTATTAAAGACAAAATGCTTTTCCATCTTTTTTTTTTTTCTACAAAATTCCCCACAGATGTTTTAAGTGAAACAGAACTAAACAGGAAGCCTGCTATAAATAAATATCTGAAAAACAGTTTAGCAAGGCAATGTAGCTGTTAGTTTCCTTTTTTCCCTTTCCACTTTTCACACAGTAGTTGTGGGGGAGTGCATTTCTTTTACCATTGCAATGACACCTGATGTTCAGTTTTGTGTAATTTGGTGTTTGCTTTTGCACTGTGCAGAGGTTCACTGATGTAAAAGGTATCCTCATTTAACCAACCTAAAGATTAATTTATGGTGCTGGCATGTGGCATTGAATCTTTCTGCATAAATGGATTGCTTCAAATATGGGTGTTTTTTCTTCAAATTCTAGCTCTTCCAAAATAACTGCAATGCTGTTTTCTCCATTTTGGGGGAAATTCTTAGCTTACTACTCTTGCTGTGTATTGGCAGCTCTTGATTTCAGTCAGTGTAAAAGGGTTTGTTATGCAAATGCAACCCCATATTGCCTGGCAGAAGTTACTGATAGAAAAATTTATGGTATGCTGCTGTCTTTGAAGATTGTCAGACAGATTGTTCAGCTTGCTGAGCTGGAAAGGAAGGGAGGGAAAGTCAATACTTTCCTACTCTTTCTTTCAAGCTAAACTCCTTTCTTGAGTTTTTCTGTTGACAAGAACTAGAGATGGGTGTCAGGCTATGAGAAACTATAGAAATGTCAAGCAAACTTCCCAGACCTCCTTGATACTGTTCATCATTCAAACTACATTAGCAGAAGAGGAGGGAAAAAACATCAAAATTATTCTTCCCATACACAACTTTCTGTGAACATCAGCACTGCCCTCAAGTGTGAAGTACTGCATCTGGGG